GTTGGTTATTGTGAGTAATGCTGCCATGACCATTGGTATAAAAGTATCTGTTTCCATTCTTTTAGGTATGTACCTAGGAGTGGAATTGCTGAATCATATGATAATTCTATGTTTAGCTTTTTGAGGAACTGCCAAACCATTTGCTACAGAGGTTGTACCATTTTACATTCTTGCCAACAGGGAACACATCCTCAAAAATACTCATTAGTATTATTATTTTTTTTAAGATTTTTTATTTATTTATTTGAGAGCGAGAGAGAGTATGAGATGGGGAGGGTCAGAGGGAGAAGCAGACTCCCTGCTGAGCAGGGAGCCCGATGTGGGACTTGGACCCGGGACTCCAGGATCATGACCTGAGCCAAAGACAGTCGCTTAACCAACTGAGCCACCCAGGTGCCCCAGTATTATTATTTTTAAAAGATTTTATTTTTAAGTAATCTCTACACCCATTGTAGGGCTTGAACTTATAACCCTGAGATCATGATTCTCATGCTCTACTTGACTGTGCCAGCCAGGTGCCCCCAAAATACTTGTTATTTTTATTTGTTTTTTTTTTTAAGATTTTATTCATTTATATGAGAGAGAGAGAGAGCATAAGCCAGGGAAAAGGCAGAGGGAGAAGCAGACTCCCCGCTGAGCAGGTTAACTCCCACCCCCCACCCCCCTCTGCGCTGCAGGGCTCAATCCCAGGACCCTGGGATCATGACCTGAGCCAGCGGGAAGGCAGATGCTCAACCACCTGAGCCACCCAGGTGCCCTTGTTTGTTTGTTTTTATAATGGCCATCATAGTGAGTGGTAAGTGTTACCTCATTATGGCTTTTTGATTTGCATTACTCTAATAAATAATGATGTTGAGCATCTTTTCATATGCTTATTGGCCACTTATATATCTCCTCTGGAGAAATGTCTGTTCAAGTCTCTTGTCCTTTGCCCATTTTTGAATTGAGTTGTTTGTTTTTTGTTATTGAATTGTAGGATTTTTTTTTTAAGATTTTATTCATTTTTTTTTTTTTTTTAAAGATTTTATTTATTTGACAGAGAGAGACACAGCAAGAGAGGGAGCACAAGCAGGGGAGTGGGAGAGGGAGAAGCAGGCTTCCCGCCGAGCAGGGAGCCTGATGTGGGGCTCGATCCCAGCACCCTGGGATCATGACCTGAGCCGAAGGCAGATACTTAATGACTGAGCCACCTAGGCACCCAAAGATTTTATTCATTTATTTGACAGAGAGAGAGGGAGCACAAGCAGGGGCCGCGGGAGAGGGAGAAGCAGGCCTCCCGCCGAGCAGGATTTCTTTATATTTTCCGGATATTAATTCCTTATCAGACATATGATTTGCATATATTTTCTCCCATTCTGTGGGCTGTCTCCTCACTCCTTGATCATGTCCTTCGATGTGCAAAAGTTTTTAATTCTTATGAAGTCCAGTTTGCCCATTTGTCTCTTGTTGCTTGTGCTTTTGGTGGCATATCCAAGAAGTCATTGCCAAATCCAAAGTCATGATGTTTTCTCCTAAGAGGTTTGTAATTGGGGCCCCTGGGTGGCTCAGGTGATTGAGTGTCTCACTCTGGGTTTCAGCTCTGGTCATGATCTCGGGGTCCTGGGATCGAGCCCCATGTCAGCTCAGCACTGCGCGTGGAGTCTGCTTGGGATTCTTTCCCTTCCCCTCTGTTCCTCCCCCTGCTCATGTGCTCTCTCTCTCTCAAATAAGTAAATAAATAAAATCTTTAAAAAAAAAAAGAGGCTTGTAGTTTAGCTCTTTGATCCATTTTGAGTTATTTTTTTATATATTGTATAAGGTAAGGGTCCAGCATTTTTTTGCATGTGGACATCCAATTTTCCCAGTACTGTTTATTAAAAAGTTGGCCCTTTCCCCATATAAATGAGGTTTCCTCCCTGGACTGTCTATTTCATTCCATTGGTTTATATGTCTGTCTTTATACCAGTACCACACTGTTTGGATTACTATAGCTTTGTAGTAAGTTTTCAATCAGAAAGTGTGAGTCTCCCAGCTTCATTCTTCTTTTTAAAGATTATTCAGGGTCTGTTGAGATTCCATATGAATTTTAGGATGGATTTTTCTATTGCTGCCAAAAATTTCATTGAGATTTTGATAGAGATGGCATTGAATCTGTAGATCACTTTGGGTAGTATTGACATCTTAACAATATCGTTAGGTTTTCCAGTCCATGTACATGGAATGTTTTTCCATTTATTGTTGTGTTCTTTAATTTTTTTCAGCAGTGTTTTGTAGTTTTCAGTGTACAAGTCTTTCGTCTGTTGTTTTTGATGCTATTGTAAATGGAATTGTTTTCATGATTTCCTTTATGGTTTGTTCGTTGCATAGTGCATGGAAATGCAACTGATTTTGTGTGTTGATTTTGTACCCTGCAACTTTATTGATTTGTTGATTGGCTCTAATAGGTTTTTTTGGAGTGTGGAATTTTTAGGGTTTTCAACATATTATATAATTCCATCTGCACACAGAAATAATTTTACTTCTTCCTTTCCAATTTGAGTGCCTTTTATTTCTTTTTCTTGCCTAATTGTTCAGACTAAAACTTCAGTACTATGTTAGATAGAAATAGTGAAAATGGGCATCTGTCTTGATCCTGATCTCAGGGGAAAAGCTTTCAGTCTTTCATCATTGAGTATGATCTTAGCTGTGAGTTTTTCACAAATGCCTTTACTTTAATAGAAGTTCCCTTCTGGTCCCAGTTTATTGAGTGTTTTTATCATGTTGAATTTTGTTGGATGCTTTTTCTGCATCAATTGAGATGATCATGTGCTTTTTTTCCCCTTTATTCTGTTAATATGGTATATTACATTGATTGATTTTTGTATGGTGAGCCATCTTTGCATTCTGGAAATAAATCCTATTTGGTCATGGTGTATAAGTCTTTTAATTTGCAGCTGAATTCAGTTTGCCAGCATTTTATTGAAAATTTTATATCAACATTAATAAGGAATATTGGTCTTTAGTTTTCTTTACTTGTAATATCTTTAACTGGTTTGGTATCAGGGTTATGCTGGCCCCATAGAATGAGTTAGGAAGTGTTTCCCCCTCATCAATTTTTTGGGAGCAGTTTGAGAAAGAATGATGTTACTCTTTCAAATGTTTGGTAGAATTCCCCAGTGAAGCCTTTTGATCCTGGGATTTTCCTTGTTGGGAGGTTTTTGATTAATGACTCAATCTCCTTACTTGTTACAGGTCTTCTCAGATTTTTCAGTTTCTTCATGGGTCAGTTTTGGCAAATTATTTGTTTCTAGGCATTTGTCCATCTCAATTATGACTGTTTTAAACTGAACTTTTGGCAAATTAGTTACTTTTTTTTTTTAAGATTTTATTTATGTTTTTGAGAGAGAGAAAGAAAGAAGGAGAGCATGGGCGGGGGTAGGGGGGAGAGAAGCAGGCTCCCCGCTGAGCAGGGAGCCCGATGCGGGACTCAATCCCAGGACCCTGGAATCATGACCTGAACCAAATGCAGACACTCAACCGACTGAGCCACCCAGGTGCCCTAGGTACTTCTGTTTTACTGAATTACTTTCTTGCCTAACAGTGAAACTCTCTATGGTTTGTTATTTCTTTTTTTTTTTTTTTTAAGATTTTATTTATTTATTTGGCAGAGAGAGACACAGCGAGAGAGGGAACACAAGCAGGGGGAGCAGGAGAGGGAGAAGAAGGCTTCCTGCTGAGCAGGGAGCCCGATGCGGGGCTCGATCCCAGGACCCTGGGATCATGACCTGAGCCGAAGGCAGACGCTTAACGACTGAGCCACCCAGGTGCCCCGGTTTGTTATTTCTTTACGAAGTAAAGTACCAAGGAATATGAGGGTTTCACTTGTTTATATTGTTGATGATGTGTGTTCTATTTTGTCAAATATATAATATTTTACTGTGTGTCTTATGTCCCACTAAAAGTAGGAAAGTGTATATAAGACTATCAGCCTATATAAAAATGCTTCCAAACATACTAGTGACTCATAGTTTAGATTACAGGGTTTCTGTGGCATTTTGGGGAAAATATCATTATTGACTGACAGTTTCCCTACTCAAGGTTCCCTGACCTTGTTTTTTTTGCTTGTTTGTTTATTTTTAGTTTACTTGGTACAAAGGAATGAACCAGTGATGTATTTGGCCCCAGTTTAAATTTCTCAGTTTCTTTTCAGCAAATGGGTCAGACGGAGCCAAGAGGAGCAACCCCCATCTGTGTGGTAGGAGAAGCTTTGTGACTCTCCTCTGTGCTTCCACCTGGTCCTCATGGTGGGTGTTTTCTCATAGAGACTTATTCGTTTATCAGTTATTTATTGAGTACCTGCCATGTGCCAAACATTGTTGTAGCCATAGATTTCCCAGTGATATCCACACAGAAGTACACAAAACAGGCAGCTTCCTGTGTGGTTGGAAGAACCGGGGGAGAAACCAAAACCAAAAAGCAGCACTGGTCCTCAAAACGAAGACGGTTCTGCCATTCACACTGTTCTGTTCCTATGAATGGAGTCACTCCATTCGGAGGCACTGTTATCTTGGCTGGGGCTGGGTTGGCCCTTGTGTTGGAGGCTTGAGTAGCTACCTTGAAGGGGAAGAGGACCCTGATGAAGCAGTAGGGGAATTTGTTCAGGGCCTTGGAAGCCTTCCAGGCTTATGTGTGAAAGGTGATATTCTCACCATGGAGGAAAATCCAGTGGAATGGGATCTAATCATTTCACTGCACTCAAGCAATGACTGCAGAGAGAGACAGATGGAGAGAAGAGTTGTGGTTTGGATTCTGAGTAGCTCTGCTTGCAGTGAAGAGCTGATGATGCTTTGGGTTAAAATAGTCATTTCCAAACCATAGGCCTTTCAACAAGAGCACACTGGATCTTACCATAAGAGGGTGATTAGTTCTATTAGAATGTACCTTAGTATTGCATCCTAATCTGATACCACGAGAACTGACTGGTGCTTCACTTGAGAGTTCCTACAATTTTGAAGTACATTTTACTCGAGGAGTAGGAATAACTCTGGCCAGCGGTCTCCTACAGTGAGTCACACGTGTCAGGAAAGATATACTAGTAGAATATCATGTCCATGGTTCAAAGATTGTGCCTTTACCTCTTGAGTTACATGTTCATTGAGAGGACAGGTTTGAATTTGTCAGGTATTGTTGCTTCACATGGTTTCTTTTTATTTTTAAAGATTTTATTTATTTATTTGACAGAGAGAGACACAGCGAGAGAGGGAACACAAGCAGGGGGAGTGGGAGACGGAGAAGCAGGCTTCCCGCCGAGCAGGGAGCCCGATGCGGGGCTCGATCCCAGGACCCCGGATCATGACCTGAGCCGAAGGCAGACGCTTAACAGCTGAGCCACCCAGGCGCCCCCCCTTCTTTTTTTTTTTTTTTTTAAGATTTTATTTATTTATTTGACAGAGAGACACAGCGAGAGAGGGAACACAAGCAGGGGGAGTGCTTCAGAGGGTTCTTAAGACTTCCATATGTGATTGAATTTCTTTAGGACATTCTTAGACAGAGACTGAGATGATATCCCAGGGTGCAGAAATCACGAAGTTTTCCAGCTCCGGCTAAGTTGATGACCCAGAGTCCCCTGCAGTTTAACTGAGGTGCTTTATTCATCTGCTGCCTGGAAGCCCAGGACTGGAAATTTAACACGAAATAAATAATTAAATCTCGGCTTCCACAGGTATAGAGGGCATAAATAATCCGACTGCCTGCTGCCCGGGCATTCCGTATCTTGAGCCATTTAGATTTAATGCCCAGGCATTCACTTGTAACTGAATATGTCAGAATGCGGCTCCTGCCCAGGACAGGGAAGGGGTGTTGTTTCACAGCAGCGTGCTTGCTTGTCTGCTGGAAAGATGCCTCCATCCTCTGACGCCTCTGGAGACCCTTTGCTGGCTTGGTCTCCAGGGAAGTTCATCTGTTCCCTGCCCAGGCCTGAATACCAAACACTATAACCCAACTCCTCTTCTGGTTAAATGAGGGAGGTATTATATTGAAGGGAGGCCCAGGAAAATAGCTCATTTAATTGGAGATGTTTGGGGAAACAGATGAGTTTGCTGTTGAGGGAGGACCTTTAAAACTTTATTCTCAGAGTTAAGAGTTTGAACCTGAGACCTTCTGAGCATTGGGGAGTGGCTGACCATTGGTGTCATTTTCTGCTTCAGTAGCAAATCTGGCGAAGGGCACTGAGGATGAGTAATCCATTTTCTGGTGACCAAGGTGGGAATGCAACATTGGTTCTAATTACGTTTGCATCACTTATATGGCTTTGCACATGGTAGAAATTTAATAAAAGTCTGTTCAATGAGCAAGAGAAAGAACACTGATGCATTGTGATGATTGGCACTTACTAGCTGTTGTCCTCTCTGGTCCAGTGTCGCTCCCGGGGACGTCCCCAGACCAACAGCATTGGCATTGCCTGGACCCTAGTTAGGAATGAAGATTCTCAGGCCCTGTTCCAGACCTGCAGATGTGCATCTCTGGGGAGGACGCGTTTAAAAAATCCTCCAGTGATTCTGATGCCCATTAGAATCTGAGCAGCTGTGGCCCTAGACTTGTGTCAGGCAGGCAGGGCACTTACGAATGCTACATATACTCCTTCCCTCTCTCAGTAGGATGTTACTGCAGCTGATTGCAAGAGAATTATATTTCAAATCTTACATGTACATGTTTCTTCCCACAGCTTCTCACTCAGGACACAGTCTCCTGGTTCTTTTCTCCAGATCTCATGTTTCCAGATTCTGTGCTCTGTCTTTTCTAGGACAATAGTGATGGGTGGGGTGGGAAGCATCCTTCTATTTGCTGATCGCCAGAAGGAGGATGAGCTATCATGTCAGACCCTTATCAGGCACATGTCAACCCACTGTGGGCTAGGCCTGAGCCACAGGGAATAGGGCACAGTCCCTGTCCCCAGGACCTCAGGAGCTCCAAAGGAAGCAGGGAGGTGTTCAGTGCTGGGTCAGGTGAGGAAGGCACTCACTTGGCTGTGTCTTGGAGTGCCGAGATTGGCCAAGCTCAGCCTTGGGCCAGGTGGGATAGGAGAGGCTTCATGGAGGAAGTGCTGTCTGGATCACCTCTTTTAGGACAAATAAGGTGGCAGCAGGGTGCAAAGAGGTAGGGGCAGAAGGGAATTTTAGGTGGAAGGGGCAGCGCCCCTGAAAGCAAACTCTAGAGAGGACTTTATTCAGCTTTTGGAGACTCTATATTTCTTATCAGTTTTACCTTTTTAAAAAATTTTATTTATTATTATTATTATTTAAAGATTTTTCTTTATTTATTTGACAGAGAGAGAGAGTGCACAAGCAGGGGGAGTGGCCGGCAGAGGGAGAGGGTGAGGGAGAAGCAGGCTCCCCGCTGAGCAGAAGCTCATTCCCAGAACCCCGAGATCATGACTTGAGCCGAAGGCAGACACTTAATGAATGAGCCACCCAGGCACCCCTCAGTTTTACATTTTAAATTGAGTTATAACGTGCATGGAATAGAGTGCCCAACTCTTAGGTTTGCAGCTCGATGGAATTTTAAACATGTCCTCACCCTTGTAACCACCGGCCAGATCAACATATGGGACATTTCCAGGCTCCCAAGAGGCCCTTCTAGTACACAGGCTCCTCCCCCAAGGGAAACCCCATTCTTACCTCCATCCTCATATATTCGTTTGCATTGGGGACCTTTTTAGACTATAAACTCCAACAAAAAATTTGTCCTGGTTAGCCAAAGACCCTTAACAGGCCAAATACGGCTCCAGATGATGTGTTTTGCTTGGCACATACATTTTTTTTTTTTTTTAAATTCATTGCTAATGCTTAAAAATTGGGATTTCACATAATATAGAAAGATCTGGCAATACTGGGCTCATGTACCTTGGTGGCAGCACTGCGCTAAATCAGGTAGGGGTAGTCCCCCTGAAGATGGGGCATCCACTACCCGCTGCTCCCCATTGCTCACTCCTAGCTGTACTTGTCACCTGCCTGGCCCTGTGGGCATCTGAGTTTGCAGTCCCTACTTTTAGGTACGATTTTGTTTCCTGGTTTGGGACCTCCTTAACCATTTTCATTCATTCACTGGCATTTATTGAGCACTGACTATGAGCTAGGCACATGCCGGGTGTTGGGAATACAGAGGTGTTCACGGCAGGAAGATGAAGCATTATTTGTTGGCTTGCGATGCAGGTGACCAGATGTGTGACAGAGTCCCATCTTTGTGAGTTCACTTCTCACTGCCTTCTCACATGCCTCCCATGCTGCCTGTGTCCTGGTCCCTGAGCTCACCTCATCCTTTATAACCAGCACACCTGTGCCATCCCTCTCTCCTTTCTGTCTGTCTGGCCCCCACTCCTCCCTCATGTACTTCCTCAGGTCCTACCTCTTCCAACAAGTCTTTGCTGACCTTCCCTTTGTCTTGTGACACCTACCTCCTCTGACCTCCAATGAAGGCATTTCCCACATCACCACTCAATTGATTCTGTTGTTGATTCCCCCACATTAAAAAAAAAAGGTCTTTTTTTCTTTCTTTCTTTCTTTTTTTTTTTTATTAGTTTCAGGGGTAGAATTTAGTGATTCAGCAGTTGCATATAACACCCAGTGCTCATTCCTTCAAGTGCCCTCCTTAATGCCCATCACTCAGTTACTCCATCCCCCCACCCCCTCCCCTCCAGAACCCTGTTTTTTTCCTAGAGTTAGGAGTCTCTCTTTTTTTTTTAAAAGATTCTATTTATTTATTCATAAGAGACAGAGAGAGAGAGAGAGGCAGTGGGAGAAGCAGGCTCCCTGCTGAGCAGGGAGCCCGACGCGGGACTCGATCCCAGGACCCCGGGACCATGACCCGAGCCAAAGGCAGACGTCCAACCATCTGAGCCACCCAGGCGCCCGAGTTAGGAGTCTCTTATGGTTCGTCTCCCTCTCTGATTTCATCTTGTTTTATTTTTCCTTCCCTTCCCCTATGTTCCCTTGTTTTGTTTCCAAAAGGCCTTGTCTTTTAACCTAGATATTGCCCGCCCTGTGGGCAGAGTCTTTGCCTTGTATTTCCTGCTCTTGCCCCATAACGCCCTGCCGGGTCCCGTCAATACAGGAGATGGGCTGGGGAGCAGGGCTGAGCCCCAGAGAGGCCACAGCTGGCCGTGCTGGGGTGAGAGGCTGGAGAGAGGAGCACTTCCGAGCTGCCCCAGCCTCCTGCCCGGGAGCTGTCCTTGCTGGCAGTTGTCCGTTGGGAGTCCTGCCTGCCTGTGAGGACCGTGAGTCCTTGTGAGAGCATTGACACCCCACAAGGAGGGCACAGACACTCCGGTCGCTGGGCCGCCAGCATTCCAGACAGTGTCATGTGAGGTGGCATCTGAGGTTATCCCCTTACAGCCTGACAGAGTGTCCCTGGGGGTGGCAGGACAAGGTTCACTGAAGACAGCTTGTGGCTAGAAAAGGAAGGGGTCATTTTGATGGCCATTCCTTCAGCCTTCAGCCATGCTCCATCCAGAGCCTGGGGTGCCTGCCCCGTCCCACTTGCCATTCTGGGTTCAGTGATGCAGATCGCCCAAAGCAACCTGTTGCAAGTAGCCCCCCACCTTGCAACTGTCCCCCTATGAAAAGTACCTTATTTGCTGGCAAAGAATGGTGACCTTTCTTGAGTAGACGTCGGCTCCCAGCCGCACAGGCCAGACCACTGCCATGGAGGTGGGAGGGGTAAGAAGAGCCTTTAATTTAAGGGCAAAGAGCCATCCCCTTTCCTAGGGTTCTGTTATATGTCACTTGCTGTGCAGGGTTCCAAGAACTATTTGGCTTCTCAACAGGGAACATGATAGAATGTCAAGACCTAAGCTAATGTAAAATATGTTTTGCCCCGCCAAGTCAGGCACAGGCAAACCAAGAAGCCCATCGGTCATTCACGCATCTGTGCCATGTGGCCGAGGGGCTCTGCTGATGGGCGCTGGCCTTTCCAGAGAGGCGAGGAGATGGAGGTCAGGCACACAGGGGCTTCTTACTCTGAGCAGGCTGATTTTGAAAAGCATGTGGGCATCCCTTAAAAAAATGCACATTCTTAAAAGGCAGTTGTTTCCTGTCTCTCTCTTTTCCCTTATATTTTCCCCCTTGCTGTTTTTTTCCCCCCCTCTCTCCACCTTCCTGCCCCCCCCTTTCTGTATCTTTGTATTTATCTGTTGTGCCTTCGGCACCAGCCCCAGATTTCCAGGTGACAAGGCTGGCCAGGTTTATAGATGCCGCATTCTAGTACTTGGGGGCTTGAGATTTAGATACCAGGACAGAGCGACCTACAGCGTGCCAGGGTTCAGCCTCGGGCCGGTAGGGAGGGCGACACTGGCCATCGTAATACAGCTGTTGAGCAAAATCATCATGGGCAGGTACAACCCACGGGAGGCTGAAACAGGACCAGGGGACAACGTCACACTTCACACACCCTGGCCCCAGTACAACAAGAAATGTTTGGCTGCCAGCAGAAACCCCAGCAAATAGCGGCTTATACCAGAGGGACGTGTATCCTCGACTTGATACAAAGTCTGGGGGCAGGAGGCCCAGGGTTGGTTTAGTGGTTCAGCAGGGACTCCAGGGGCCCAGGGTCTTTCCATGCCTCCACCTCGCCATGTCCAGTGATGTACTTATTCTCACATCTGTGGCCTCCTCCCGACGGTGCCAAGAGTCTCCGTTTACCTCTCTCATCTGCGAGTGGAAATTTTGGATCCTTATTGCAAAGGAAATGCTGTTTAGGTATGAAAACTGACACGTGGGCCTGAGTCATTTTAGGTTGTCAGTGGCGGGGTGAGCTGAGACTCCATTTTCCTAGTAACCTTTCCCAGTTATTCTTTCTCAGCATCACAGATTGTGAAGAACTTCATTTCTCCATGGTTTCTTCCAGCCCAGAGTTCACTGTGCAGCTTAATTTTCATCGACTGATAAACCAAGGCTTAACTGAGAATTTTTATGAGCTCCTGCCATAGAGACCAATAAAGTCTGGCCGCATATCCCCTTTTTTTCTGGCTGGTTCATCATATCAGGCTGGCCCATTGGTAACAGACTGTTCACATCATTTACCCAGTGGGTTGGTGTTAAGTTATAGGGCCCTCTGGTTGGAAGTTTATCTTTTGAAAAGTTTGGGTCTAGTGTTCATTTTGCCTTTTCTAGCACTGAATCTTGGGAAATGATTTCTCTGCTAAAATAATTTTGATTTTTTTTTTTTTAAAGATTTTATTTATTTATTTGAGACAGAGAGAATGAGCAACAGAGAGCATGAGAGGGAGGAGGGTCAGAGGGAGAAGCAGACTCCCCGCCGAGCAGGGAGCCCAATGCAGGACTCGATCCAGGGACTCCAGGATCATGACCTGAGCCGAAGGCAGTCGCTTAACCAACTGAGCCACCCAGGCGCCCCATAATTTTGATTTTTAACAGGCATGTCCATACCCCTGCATCTGCTCTCCACCACTCCAGTGGGAAAGGGAGACTGCGGTTTCATGGTAGCTGTCTTTTTGATGAATGTCCCCATGTCCACCCAGACGCTGTGACATTCCTCTCTTCTCCACTTGATAATCTGAAAATCTTCCGAACCAGCTTGTCCTGTTATAGGCCTGTGGCTCTGGAATGCCACAGACGTTCTGGATTTCAGTCCCCAGGGCCTACGCTGGCTAGCATGGGCCCAAAGCTGATAAGGCAGTGAGCTAAAGACACAGCACCCTGGTGACGGGGCGGCAGGACCGTGGACTGGGGCCAGGGTGTGTGAAGTGTGACGTTGTCCCCTGGTCCTGTTTCAGCCTCCCGTTTTCATCGACTCCCAAATGCATTTTGCTTTTTGGGACTCTTCACTCTTTCCCACCGAAACGTGCTCCCAGATGTGCCCAACTGTGCCCTTCGTTTTCCAACCTATGGAGGAAGAGTGGATGTTACCCTGTGGCAAACCGTTCTTGTCACAGGTACTCATCCTCCCACGGCAGAAGATTTTATATTAAAAGCCAGTAATTCTGCTTACTTCCCTGAAAGTTGACAGCCTGGGAGGTTCTTGATTGGCTTTATGATCAGAAGGGTTTGTCACACTTTCGTTTGGATTTGGGGAATCTTCCAGAATAGGTACTGTTGGGATTAAGGGTCTTGTCTGCTTGGTGGCCCCCAGCATCTGAGGGTGAAATGAAGAGATCTCCAAGGGGAGGGTTCTAGATCTAGATTACCTGCCTTGGAATCCGATTCCAACTGTTAACCTACTTGCTGTGTGTCCTTTGGATAAGTTGTTTAAGCTCTCTGTACTGCAGTTTCTCCATCTGCAAAATGAGAATAATCCATAGTGCATGTCACATACGGTTCTTAGGAGTCAATGAGTTAATGTATGGGTGCTTAAAATACTACCTGGCAATTGGTAAGCATCATATTATTTGTTAAATAAATAAATCTTACTAGTTTGAGATATTTTTGTTGGTTTGCTACTTTTCTAACTGAAGTTTTTGTTGAGATCATTGTAGATTCAGATACAGAAATAATCCAGAGTTCCCAAGTACATGTTCCATTTATTCTAGTTTCCCTGTACTGGTAACATTTTGCAAAAATACAGTACAATATGGCAACCAGGATATCAACACTGATACAATCCACCTATCTTATTCAGATCTCTCCAGTGTTGTGCATACTCATTTGGATGTGTTCGTGCAGTTAGTTGTGTGTGGTTTTATCCCTCACATTGCCCTTTTATGACCGCACCCACCTACCTCCCTTTCTCAGCAAGCCCTGGTGATGATTAATCTGTTCTCCATTTCTAAAAGTTTGTCCTTTCAGGGGCTCCTGGGTGGCTCAGTCAGTTAAGCGTCTGCCTTCGGCTCAGGTCATGATCTCAGGGTCCTGGGATCGAGCCCTGCATTGGGCTCCCTGCTCAGCAGGGAATCTGCTTCTCCCTCTCCTACCCCTCCCCCCAATTCATGCTCTCTCTCTCAAATAAATAAATAAAATCTTGAAAAAAAACAAGTTGTTTTTTTTTTTAAAGATTTTATTTATTTATTTATTAGAGAGTGAGCGAGCGAGAAACAGCATGAGAGAGGAGAGGGTTAGAGGGAGAAGCAGGCTCCCCGCTGAGCCGGGAGCCCAATGTGGGACTCGATCCCAGGACCCTGGGATCATGACCTGAGCCGAAGGCAGTCGCTTAACCAACTGAGCCATCCAGGCGCCCTGAAAAAAAATAAGTTTGTCCTTTCAGAGAATGTTATATGAATGGAATCATACCATTTGCAGCCTTTTGGGATTAGCTTTATTCACTCAGCATAGTTTCCTGGAGACTTACCCGAGTTGTTGAGTGTATCAATAGTTCATTCCCTTTTCTTGCTGGCCAGCATTCCGTGGTATGTACGTACCACAGTTTCTTTAACCATTCACCAGTTGAACCATTCACCTATTTTTGGTTATTGCAAATAAAGCTGCTACGAACATTTGTGTATAGGTTTTCATGTGAACACATGTTTTCATTGCTCTGAGATGAATGCCCAAGGGGGCAATCATCGGGTCATATGGAAATCCCATGTTTAGATTTACTACCGTAATAGCTATAACACTTTGTTATTTAAATTTGTGGCTCCCAACAATAAGTTTATGTTCCATTCTTTGACTTATAGTAAGCATTGTATTAGTACTTGTTAAATAAATTAGAATGAGTCACTGGCTTTTACAGTGTGTCCAACACTGTGTAAGGGATAGATGAGGGAAGGAGATCCAAGTGGTGTGGTGATGGTTCTTGTCTTCAAGAAATATTCACCTTTGGTCTGGGGAATTAAGTAGTTGCAAATAGTAGCCAGTGTAGATTGTGTGCTATCAGATTACCGAGGGCTTGAAAAAACCCAGTGGACAGCTTGGTGGGCAGTGCAGGGTGGGGAGAGAATGAACGTCTGCGAAAGGGTGGTCAGCGTTAGTGCCACCGTGTCTGAGATTGGGAATTTTGATGGTCTTGGTACTTGAGAAAGATTTGGAAACATGTGCATTTGAAGAAAAGCGTCAGTTTTGCACAGAAAGTGTGCTTGGGTCAAAGGTAAGGATCGTTGTGGAATCATAAATTTGTTTGTAAGAGCATTCTTCCCAGGAGAGAACAGGTGCGTGGTGTTGCTGGACAATCAGCTGGATCTAACAGTTCACCACTGTGGACTAGGAGCTGGATTGCTGGCCGGCCACACTTTTCCCCCAGTTCCGGCAGGATGCTGTTCCTGCCCGTGGCGTGGGGTCAGTTTGGTGGAGTGCAGTGAAAGCTCAGCCAGCACGCTGGACACCTGGACAGATAATTTTTCATATTCCTCTTCCATGAGTGACAAAATTATTTTCGGTAAAAATCACGTAGGCAGCAGCCATTATTTTCTTGATTTTTTTCCCTTTACTTTGTAAGGATTAAAAAAAGACATTGAAGTTTTAAAGATACTAGTCAATTTAATACAATATTTCACAGCTGAATTAAAATTTGCTCATGCCAAGCAAAATGCAAGATGTATCTTGCAGTTTGTGGTTTTAAATTTTATTTTATTTTATTTATTTTTTATTTTTATTTATTTATTTTTAAAGATTTTATTTACTCATTTGAGACACAGATACAGAGAGAGAGAGAGCATGAGCAGTGGGAGAGGCAAAGAGAGAGGGAGAAGCAGACTCCCCGCTGAGCCAGGAGCCCGATGGGGGACTCGATCCCAGGACCCTGGGATCATGACCTGAGCTGAAGGCAGCCGCT